TTCAGGATGGGGTCAGCTACATGGGGGACTTCCTGGAGAAGCTGTCGCCCCTGAGCAGGGGCGTGCAGCCGCGGCTCCCGGAGGACTCGGGCAGCCTGCGCAAGGCCCTGCGCAGGGAGCTGGACAGCCTCCGGGACAAGCTGTCCCCGTACGTGGACGAGGTGCACCAGCAGGTCGGGCAGCAGCTGGACGAGCTCCGGCAGCAGCTGCAGCCGCTCACGGAGGAGCTCCTGGAGCAGGTGTCCCTGCGGGCCCGGCAGCTCCGGCGGCACTTGGTGCCCAGCCGGGAGGTGACGGCCCAGCTCCTGGGCGGCGCCGACGAGCTCCAGCGCTTCATGGCTCACTACGCCGACAAGATCGCCTTCCACACGGACCAGGTGAAGGACATCTTCCACCCGTACACGGACCGGCTGCTGAGCGAGATCCACCGCAACGTGGAAGAGCTGCACCGCAGCGTGGCCCCGCACGCCCGTGCCAGCCCCGAGCAGCTCAACCAGCACATCCAGGAGCTGTCCGCCAAGCTGGCCCGCAACGCGCGGGACCTGCACCAGCAAATCCAGAAGAACCTGGAGCAGCTGAAGGCGAAGCTGAGCCTGTTGCCCGGCAGCCTCGGGGGCCCCGCGGCGCCGCCGGGCCGCTCCCGGGAGGCGCTGGCGCGGGAGGTGCAGCGGCGCGTGGAGGAGTTCCGACAGGACACGTACGCCCAGATCCAGGCCTTCACCCGCGCCCTGGACCAGGAGACGGAGGAGATGCGGCTGAAGCTCAGCGCCCGCCCGGACCCGCCCGAGGAGCCGCTGGACGCGCCGCCGCCGCCCCTGGAGGACCTGCGGGCCCGGCTGGACGCGCTGTGGCGGGATCTGGCGCTGAGCCTGAGCGAGCGGGGCGGGGAGGGCCCCGGGGAGGGTCCCGGGGAGGCGCGGGCGGGGGTGGCGGGGCCGGGGCCGGGGCGACTCCGCGGCTGAACGCAAATAAAGGCGCCGCCATCGCGGCCCACGGGCGTCACATGACCCGCTGAGCACGTGACTGAGCCTTGCATCATCGGCCCGCGCCGCCGCGTGACCGCCACCGTCACCATCACCATCATGTCGGCGCTGGGGGCCATGGAGGCGGCGGCGGCGGGGCCTGGGGAGTCCCTGTTCCGGCCCCTCAGCGCCGAGGACGGCGAGCAGCAGCCGGCAGAGATCGAGTCCCTGTGCATGAATTGCTTCCGCAACGTGAGGGGCCGGGCAGCAGAGGCCTGAGAGGATCGGGAGGCACAGAGGCCTGCAGGGGGGAGAGCAGGACAGGGTGGTCTGGGTGGATGCAGGGGCTAGGGGACACACCCCTATGTGGGTCGAGCTTAGCGTCCGGGGCTCTCCAGTGGTCGTGGAGAGGAGCAGGCAGGGCTCGGTGGGCATTCCAGAGGGCTAGGGGGCGATGGGAAGCAGGAGCAAGGAAGGAACTGCCAGGGGTCACAGGTGGTCTCGGAGTAGGGGGCACTGGTGGGGTCGGGAGGGCGTTTGCAGGGACTCCTGGGGGTGGGAGGAGGTTTGAGTCAGGCAGGGTTGGGGCAGAGACGTGCCCGTGTTGGGAGGTGCTGTCAGGGCCCTGGGCCGCCACCCCCAGGATTCGGTTCCCACGAGCCCCCTCGCTGCTGCAGGGAGTGACACGGCTCCTGCTCACCAGGATCCCCTTCTTCAAAGAGATCATCGTCAGCTCCTTCTCCTGCGCCAGCTGCTCCTGGTCCAACACGGAGATCCAGTCTGCAGGCAGGATCCAGGAGCAGGGCGTGCGCTACACCCTGGCCGTCACCTCCCGCCAGGTGAGCAGGGCCTCCCCGCTCTGCTCCAGGCCCAAACCTGCACGTTCCTAAAGCAAAGGGGGCTGGGGCTAGCACCTCTCTGTGATCCCAGTGTGTGGGAGCCCCTGGATCTCTTGGGGATCCTCAGGCTGCTCCCTGGCTCTCTGTGCAGGACATGAACAGGGAGGTGGTGAAGACTGACAGTGCCTCAGCTCGAATTCCAGAGCTGGACTTTGAGATCCCTGCCTTCAGCCAGAAGGGAGGTGGGTAAATGGGAGCAGTTCTTGGGGGGCTCCCGGGCACCCCTGGGACGTGTTAATGGTGTCATCACCTCTGCCTTCTTTCTTTGCCAAGTGCTCACCACCATCGAGGGGATCATTGACAGAGCTGTGGCAGGCCTGGAGCAGGACCAGCCTGCCCGCAGGGTAAGGGGCTGGGAAGGGGAAGGGGGCTCCTCAGGGATGGAAAACACTTGGGATGTCCATCCCCTGCCCGGTGGTGTCAAACAGGGTGGGTGAGGAGAGCACTGGGGCTCTGGTCTGTGCCGTGGACACCTTTGACAGCAGCTCTGGGCTGCCCCTGCAGCAGCTGAATCCTATCCTGGGGGCCTTTTCCATTTTAAAGGATTCTGTGATTCTGTGTCCTCTTCCAGGCGGCGGACAAAGAGGTGGCAAGGAAAATAGACGAGTTCATTGGTAAACTGAGGCAGCTGAAGGAAGTCAATTCCCCCTTCACCTTTGTGAGTGCTCACAGAAGGGCAGCCCTACTTGGATGAGGGGTGCAGGATGGCTCCTCAGGCGCCCTTGTCCTGCAGATCCTGGATGATCCCTCCGGGAACAGCTTTGTGGAGAACCCCCACGCACCTCAGAGGGATGAGGCCCTGGTGGTCACTCACTACAGGAGGAGCCCCCAGCAGGCTGCTATGCTGGGGCTGGAGGTGACTGATGAGCCCCTGGCCCCTGGGGACCCCACAGCAGGGAGCAGCCGTTAACCCTTCCCTTGCAGGGAGAGGAGGTGGATGCGAAGCTGCCGGACGCTGCCGAAGACCTGAGAGATGAGGTGGGTAATGCTGCAGATCTCAGGGACACTTGGGACAGCTGCCCCAGGCTAGCTGGGACATTCTGGCTGCCCTTTCCCTCCCCCAGGTGCTGCAGTTCAACACCAACTGCCCTGAGTGCAACGCCCCGGCCAGCACCAACATGAAGTTAGTGCGTATCCTTCGAGGGTGGGCACAGGCTGGTCTCTGCATGGCCCTGGGCTCTCCCTGCTGCACCACAGGCCCGAATCAGTTCTCTCAGGTTGGGGCCTGTTGGGGTGCAGAGCTTTCTCAGGGCTGCTCACAACTCCCAGTGAGGTCCTGCCATCCCTCGGCTGCTGCTTTGATGTTTCTCTTGACTCCCTGCTCCAGAAATCCCACACTTTAAGGAAGTGATTATCATGGCCACCAACTGTGACTCCTGTGGGCACAGGACCAATGAGGTGAGCTGGAAAGAGGGCAGTGGGGGAGGGAGTGCAGTTCTGTCCCTTTGTCCTGGACAAGTGGGGCTGTTGGGGAGGGAAATTGGATTTGGGGGCATTGTTAGGAGGTGCTTTATGCTGGGTGGTGAGGCCCAGGTTAGGAGTGGCCTCTGGGCTGCTGGAATGAGCCCTGTTGAAGCAGTGGGGTGTGAGCTGGGTGGGAGTTGTGGAGTTCACTGCCAGGTGTTCCCAGGTGAAGTCTGGAGGAGCCATCGAACCGCAAGGCACCAGGATCACCCTCCGGATTACAGACCCTTCTGACATGACCAGGGATATCCTGAAGGTGCAGTGCCCTGGGATACTTGCCCTGGCCTCCTGTGAGCTGTGGGGAGTCTGTGGGGGCCCAGCCCTCCTCCGTGGGGCTCACAGGGTGCTGACCTTTGCAGTCAGAGACGTGCAGCGTGGAGATCCCCGAGCTGGAGTTTGAGCTGGGCATGGGAGCGCTGGGGGGGAAGTTCACCACGCTGGAGGGGCTGCTGAAGGACATCCGTGACCTGGTGAGTGGTCCTGGGCCAGCCTGGGGGGGCTCAGCCCCCTCCCTGTCCCTCTTGAGGCTGGCTGGGGAGGCTGGCTGCCTCATCTGCCTTGCAGGTGGAGAAGAACCCCTTCACTCTGGGAGACAGCTCCACGCCCAGCAGGACAGGGAAGCTGCAGGAGTTCATTGGGAAGCTGCAGGATGTGAGTTTACTCTGGATTTTCTGTGCTCTGCACTTCTGAGGTGCTGAAGGATTAGGACGAGCCTTAATGGCTGGATATGCTCTGTTCCTGCAGATCATCGAGGGGAAGGCCCAGGCTCACTTCATCATGGATGACCCTGCAGGCAACAGTTACCTTCAGGTACAGCCTTGTGCCCTCCCGCTGGGCTCCCTGAGCAGTCTGGGGGGGTTTTATTTCCCTGGCACGTGCTGGGATTGGATTCACAGTGGAGCTCTGGGCACGAGCAGGTTGCTGAAAGCCCTGCTGGCTTTGTGGGTGCTGAGCTTAGGCTCAGAGCCTGTGCAGTGCAGGAGCTTTCCCTGTCCCCACAGAATGTGTACGCCCCAGAAGAGGACCCGGAGCTGAGCGTGCAGCGCTACGAGCGCACCTTTGAGCAGAACGAGGAGCTGGGCCTCAACGACATGAAAACAGAGGGCTACGAGCCAGAGGTGGTCTCGGGCCGGTAGCGAGGGCCACCCCAGCTCACCCACCCCCCTTCCCCAACTGCTCCAGGGACCAGGACTTGTGTGGGGCCAGGGGAGCTGTTCCTGCCTCAGGGCAGCGGGGCTGGGCCTCGGGGCCTCCCCGGGGGGAGGTGTCATGTGAGGGGCTGATGTGCTGGGGCAGGGGGGTGGCAGTGGAGGTGACTCCCCAATAAAGCTGATTGATAAAAGTTGATGTATTCGTGTCCCGCTGCTCTGCTTCATTCATAACCCTGGTCGCCGTGTGGCCATGGCCATAGCCCCACCCGCCACTCAAAATCTATGCCTGACCACACCCATTTCCTGATGCAACTCCATGTATGGCAATGACCACGCCCATTTTCTGCTAGAACTCCATTTATGGCGTTGACCACGCCCATCTCCCGGTAAACTCCATTTATGGCAATGACCACGCCCATTTTCTGGTATAACTCCATTTATGGCGTTGACCACGCCCATTTCCAGTCCGCCACAATCAGGCCCCGCCCCTTCCTTCCGGCGCTGGAGTTTTGCGTCAGAGCGCGATGGCGGCGCCGGGGGTGTCGAAGGCCGAGTACCTGCGGCGGTACCTGAGCGGCCCCGCCGAGCCCGCCCAGCCCCGCCGCCGCCGCAAGAAGAAACCGCCGGGCGGCACCGGCAGAGCCGGGTGAGTCCCGGGGAAAGGGAGCAGCAGGAGCGGCGCTGTGCGGTGCCCGGGTTTGGCACCTCCCCCGAGCCCGCTCCCACGAAATCCCCTGTCCAAACCCTCCCTCCGAGCCCCCCGAGGCCGGGACGCTCCCCAGGGTTCCCCCGCCGCAGATCCCCCCGTTCCTGCCGGGTTCTGACGGCAGCGCCTGTCCCCGCTCCCAGGATGCGAATCGTGGATGACGATGTGAGCTGGAACAGCATCGCCGCCGCCCCGGAGAAGGAGGAAGAGGAGGACGAAGGGGACATGCCTGTGGTGAGCGGAGAGTTCCGTCAGACGCGGTCTCACACCCTCAGTCTGTTCTGATAGAGACAGAGGAGTCTCCCTTTGGGAAGAACTTGCTGAAGCGCCTCTCCCTGCCCTGTGTTTTGGTGCATTCTGCCTCAGGGATGGATAGGATTCCTGCTCGGAGCTCTGGAAGGACGAGTGAGCTCCCTGCGGATCAAAGCACTCCGTTCTTTATGTAGCCGTGTGTCCCAAGGGCCAGCACGGTGGTTCTGTGCTCCAGAACAGCTGCTGGAACGGGGCAGAGGGTCTGGGATTGCTGGGTTTAAGTGGTTGTGTCAGGATGGGAATTCTGCCTGTTGGTGAGCCCCTGGTGTTCATGGTGTGTGCAGGTGGCAGAGTTCATTGATGAGCGCCCCGAGGAGGTGAAACTCATGGAGGAATTCCGAACAAACTCCAAGTGGAAGCTTCTAGGAGGTGAGAGCAGCCCCTTCAACCCTCTCTCCCTAATATTTGGCTTCTCCAAACAACAATGCAAGTTAAAAATAATGCCAGCTAAAAAAAAGTAGCAATCCTTGAGATGCTGGAGGGCTGCTAAGCTGTGCAGAGCCCAAGTGATGGTGCTTCCAATTGTTTTCCTTCAGATGAGGACTCGCAGAGTTCGGATATTTCAGGATCTGTCAAGTCTGCCACGAGGTATGGGGGCTGCAGCCAGGAATTCTGCTTTTGTTCACTCTGCCTTTCTGGGTTTGTCTGTCTGGTTCTGCACCTTCCAGGTGCTTTGCTGGGAAATATGGGCACTTCTGAAGACCTTTCCCTGCTGGATAACCCCTGCCTGGGGCAGGGTACTGGCAGGTCTGGGTGTTTGTGACACTTCCAGGGAAATTGGCGTGATGGTTCCTGTCAGTTTGAGTGATGGTAGTGGCGGGGATTTTAAAATCCAGCTCAGCTGGGATCCAGGCTGCCTTGGAGGGTTTCTGGGATCTGCTCTGGGAAGGCTGGGGCCCAGGGGTGCAGAATCCAAGTGCACAAAGCTGTTCCCAGCCTTGGCTGAATTCCCAGCTCTGCAGGTCCTGCTTTGTTTCCAAACAAACTGACCACAAAGGGAGCTCACTGTCACCTTCTCTGCCCTCACAGGCGGCGCCACGACTCCCCAGAGCCGGGGAAACACAACGGCTCCTCAGACTTCTCTCCTCCACGACGGCAGCGTCAC